GGGGGGGGGGGGGGGGGGGGGGGGGGTACAAGGACCGCCGGGCCGGAGTTCGCACCAGTTGCACGACAAAGAAGATTTCGATCTGCCACCCACGGTCCCCCTGGCGCATATATAATACCAGTGATTCATGCACACAATCAAGATTGCAGCCCCTAGTACGCATATTCACTCGAAAACACACATGAACCCTTTCCGCTTGTTCTCGCTTGCTCTCCGCGCATACGCGCGCGTCCATGCTCACCATCTTCTCGGCCTCCGCCACGCTCGCCAGGAGGCACCTTTTCTCCCGCACGAGGGCCGAGTGCGCCTCCTTCGCGGCCTCGCGGGCCCCCCGGAGGATGTCCGCCCCGTACCGCTCGCGGAGCTCGCCGGACCTCGCGTCCGCGCAGGCCGAGTCCACCTCGGCCTTGGCCTCGCCGAGCTCCGCCTCCAGCTCCGACAGCCGCCGCTTGCGGGCGTCCAGCCGCCGGCGCTGCTCCCGCAGCCGGGCCACGCGAGACGCCATCGCCTCCGACGAGGGGTAGAAGTAGGCCGGGTTGCGCGCTCGGTGCGCCGGGAGAGGGGGCATGCGGGTGGTTGCCCGTCGCCGGCGCACGGGGTCCCACCTACGCAAGGTTCGGCGTCCGGCGACCAAAAGGGTGCGTTGGTGGTGGTGGGGGGGGTGGGGGTGTACTCATAGTCGTGCATGCCGTAGTCGTTAGACCATTGACCTCGCATCCCTACAAAGCCGGGACGGAGCACGCCGGGTTCTCACCGGACCAGGCTCTCACATCACCAAGCGCGAAGCGCCGTGAGATATTCGGCGAGTCGCATGAAGGGTGCGCTGCATCCTGCTAAGGGTGTTCGGCATCTTGTGCTTACTTCCTTGCGTACGGATGACAGCTGCGTATGAATTAATTTATTTTCTGGTGCTTTCACTTCCAGAGACAGTTGTAAGCAATGTGTAACTGCCTCGAGGGTGCTTGACCATTTCAACACAACGTGGTGCGATCATCCCCCTTGCGCGGAGTGAGGGTTCACCCCGCACAACATGATCTACTCAACCATCATTATGGTTACCGCCCAAAAAAAATAAACGGAGGAAAAAAAAAAGAACGGTAACCTGGTTGCCGAGTTCACGAAGTGAATTGGCTTGATTTACAACGTCGTTGCCAAGCGACGAAAACCCAACCCCGATGGCAAACCGGTGGGGTGCGTTGGTGGTGGGGTTCGCAAAATGATGGGAGGCGCAAAGGGGAGAGTCGACGCGTTTCGAGTACTCCGAGTTCTTGAGAGTTAGCCATTCGGGCCGCGTTGTAAGGTATGGTGCCCGAGTGTCGGTTGGAGAAGGACAAGCAGCCGCGTGGTTTCATCGCCACGGGTAGTGTCTCCCGTACTAATCTTGGACGATCACGCCGACCCAACGGCAGCATGCAGAGACGAGCCCCCCCCTCGTCCGGCACGGATAAGAACACGAGAAGAGTTTGCGCAAGGTGCCTACCGTCTGTAGCGTCCACCGCCCGGAGGACAACCGAAACGACATCTACGACATCTACGACATCTACCTTACCCCCAGGCTTACACCATGATCGAAAACTGTGCAGGAGAAGTCTAGACCGTCCACACCCACCCGGCGGTCACGACGGCCCCATCCTGCTGCCGAGCCAGCCCCTCGAGCTGGACCCTGAACCTGGCCCGCCACTCCGCCTTCTTGCCGTCGCCGTCCCTCAGGAACTCTCGGGGCAGGACGCTCCACACCGCCCGCATCTCCGTTAGGTCCATCCCTTCCAGCTGCGTGAACGCCGCGGCCCCCTCCCCGGCCAGGAAGTTGGCGCCGGCGATGTCCTCTGGGGCACTAACCAGCCAGTGCAGGGGCCGGCACTCCTTGAGACGGACGCACAGTTCTGACGGGTAGAACACGCCGCCCACACGGGTAGCACCCCCCCCACCGTCCGCCGACACCCCCGCCTGCGCAGGCGCTTGGGCAGCAGCAGCCTGGATGTCGCCGGCGTTCATGTCCCACACCGCTTCGGGAATCAGCGCGCGCATCTCCCGCAGGGCGCGGGAGTTCGCCTCTCGGTTCGCCTCGCTCCAGGCCTCCTCCCGCGCCGCCTCCTCAGCCGCAAACTCCGGCGCCTCCGCCTTCCTCTGCTGCCAGGCCTCCATCTGCCCTACCGCCGCCTCCACCCGCCGGGAGAGAGCGGCGAGTTCCCGGCCGTGCCCGTCCGCCAGGTCCCTGAGCCTTTGCGCCTCGGCGGCGACCTCCGCCTTTACGGACGCGTAATCCACCTCCGAGCCCGTCCTCAACGTGGCCAGCACGGCCGTCGCGAGCTTTGCCATGGATCTCGCTGCGGCTCTCACCTGGTCGGTAAAAGCATGCTTTCTCCTTTTAGGTTGTGTGCCGAACGAGAGCTTGGATTGCGGTCCGCCGCGGAGGAGTACGAGGGAAGTTCTGCATTGCGTTTCGCTACAACACAGCACACCCAGCCATTTACTGCGCCGCTCGAAAAGGAACGCAAAAAAAACACGCAAAACCGACAACACAAGCCTTTTTCAGCAACAAGACACTTGCTATCGCGTTGCCCCGCCAACATGACTTGGGAAGCGGCAGCGGTGCACGCTCGTTTTCTCGTACATAACTCGAAACGCACGCTCGCTTTCTCGGCAGGGGGGGGGGGACCCATAGTCGTGCATGCCGTAGTCGTTACTTCGACCATTAACCTCGCACCCCTACAAAGCCGGGGCGGAGCACGCCGGGCTCTCACCGGACCGGGCTCGCACATCACCAAGCGCGAAGCGCCGTGAGCTATTCGGCGAGTCGCATGGAGGGTGAGCTGCATCCTGCTAAGGGTGTTCGGTATCTTGTGCATACTCCCTTGCGTACGGATGACAGCTGCGTATGACTTAATTTAATTTATGGTGCTTTCACTTCCAGAGACAGTTGTAAGCACTGTGTAACTGCCTCGAGGGTGCTTGACCATTTCAACATAACGTGGTGCGATCATCCCCCTTGCGCGGAGTGAGGGTTCTCCCCCCACAACATGATCCATTCGACCACCACTATGGCTACCGCCCCCAAAAAAAAAGAGTATGCCAGGAGGGAGAAAACCAACCGGTAGCACGAAAAGCACGCTCTCTCTCACCTCTCTGGCTGCAACATCGGCCGGCATGGCCGCAGCCGTGGCGGCAACGGCGCCGGCGGCGGCACGGGGTTCCTGAAGCGCCTCAAGGACACCCTCCGAGGAAGACTTGAGGAGGGACAGCACGCGGCTGCCGCCATCCTCCCGACCCAGCACTCCTGGCGACGCCGCCACGACCTTGGACATTGCCGTCGCGAAGGCTGCCGTTACCGCGTCTACGCCTACGCCTCTGCCGGCGAGCCTGGCCCGAGCTGTCTCCAGCTGGCCCTGCTCGTGCGGTGTGATAGGTGGAGAAGGGCTGGTTACAGGTAGACGTGAGTAGAACTCTAATGCTTGCTACTTGGACTGGTCAACGAGGTGCTGTTATGGCGGGGAAACCGGCCGTTTTTTCAATGGTGGTGGACAGCACGATCAAAAGCTTGCGCAGAACATCAGGCAAGCCAAAATATGTGGTATGAGGTGCACTGCGCACTGTACCAGGGACCTCGCCTACGTGGAGTGCAATTTTCCTGCAACGGCGAGGTAGAACACGAAAAAATGTACACGCAAAAAGCCGTCCTTATACCTGGTACACGCACATATCAAGAGTATTAGTTCGTCGGTTACGTATCTCGATGCACTTATTCGGGCCGCCTTCGATCGGCGTCATGCAATAGCAAAAGGCAGTTACTTGCCGTATCTTACGACCAAAACGGAAATTTCTCCGACCGATTACGGCATTCCAGGAAATATTTTTCAGGTTGATATCCGTCCCCTCATCAGAGGGTCACAGCGCGGGGGGGGGGTGTACTCATAGTCGTAGCCGGGACGGAGCACGCCGGGTTCTCACCGGACCAGGCTCTCACATCACCAAGCGCGAAGCGCCGTGAGATATTCGGCGAGTCGCATGAAGGGTGCGCTGCATCCTGCTAAGGGTGTTCGGCATCTTGTGCTTACTTCCTTGCGTACGGATGACAGCTGCGTATGAATTAATTTATTTTATGGTGATTTCACTTCCAGGGACAGTTGTAAGCACTGTGTAACTGCCTCGAGGGTGNGCGGAAACGCAGGCGATGTAGGCATGAGCCACGGACGCAAAAAAAAACGAGGCAAAAAAAACCGGTAACCTGGTTGCCGAGTTCACGAAGTGAATTGGCTTNGGAGGGTGAGCTGCTTCCTGCTAAGGGTGTTCGGTATCTTGTGCTTACTTCCTTGCGTACGGATGACAGCTGCGTATGACTTGATTACTTGTCTGGTGCTTTCACTTCCAGAGACAGTTAAAGCCACTGTGTAACTGCGTCGAGGGTGCTTGACCATTTGACAGAACGTGGTGCGGTCTTCCCCCTTGCACGGAGTGAGGCTTCTCCACCCCGCACAACATGATCCACTCGACCACCGTTATGGTCACCGCCAAAGCAGAACAGAGGAACAAAACAACAACGGTGACCTGGTTGCCGAGCTCACGAAGTGAATTGGCTTGTGATACGACGTCGTTGCCAAGCGACGAAAACCCAACCCCGATGGCAAACACCGGGGGGGGCGGCTTGTTTTACAACGTCGTTGCCAAGCGACGAAAACCCAACCCCGATGGCAAACACCGGGGGGGGCGGCTTGTTTTACAACGTCGTTGCCAAGCGACGGAAACCCAACCGCGATGGCAAACACCTGGGGGGGCGGCTTGTTTTACAACGTCGTTGCCAA